TTACAAGTACTTAACAAGACAAAACCCTCTTCCCTCCTACTAAATAAAAGCCTCACCAGCAACCCGCTCAAAAAACGTGAAACTCTTATGAAACAAGGTATCATGAGTGCCAAAAGTTTCACTCAAACCTACATAGCTATTTAATTGCATGTGGGGAAACACGAGCTTCTCCGCGTGCCACACACAGTATCTTTCAAGTTCCAGGTCATGGAAGAACCAAAACAAAACAGGCGGGGCGGACCACGCTATTATTCCTCCAGTCCAAGCCGGGAGACCGAAAAAGAAAACTGGTTTCCTAATCCGGCAAGATGGGGCGACCGAAAGAAACGAAACCTAGAGAAATTAAACCCACACCTTTTCGTAACAAAAAACTCTCGTGACGACTTCCCCGTGGACGTGCCTAAATGCCAGGCCCTCCGTGGGCTGGAGCCACGCTCCCCGCACCCCGAGTCTCACGGAACGGGTGCAGGAGCGGGACCTGAGCACGGCCACCCCGAGGAGCTGGGCGAGTGGGAGGCTCCAATAGGACACTGAGGAGCCCGGAGAAGGAAAAGTTAATTCTGCCTCGAGGAGGACTGATAAGAGTTGGCAGGATCGAGGGAGGTGCCCGAGAGGTGACGAGCTACAACCCACGAGTAGAGGGGGGAGAAAGGACTGGAGAAGGAATCCCACGGAAAGGGGTGGGGGGGAGATGCGCAGAAGCAAACCCACTGGGTGCCACCCCGTCTCCCGTGCCCCGCGGCGCCCACGGCTCAGCCCTCACCCCCTCCCGGCTTCCCGGGACTTCCCAGGCCCCAGGCCCCCTGGGCACCTCGGGCACGGGCACGGGCCTCAGGGGCGGAGAGAGTGCAGTGAGGGCTTCCGTGAAACTCCCCTCCCGAGGAAGGTCTCCCCGCCCCACGAGATCGGGATGGGGGCGCCGCGAGCCCCACCCAGCTCCGTGGAAGACGGCCACACCGCGCCCCACGCCCGCCCCGGCGCCGCCCGCAGGTGCCCCCGAACGCGGACACTCACTTTCTCGTGGAAGATGGACTCCATGTTTATTTGTCTGGAGCCAACGGCCCCCGCGCTAGACCACCCCCTACTGCTCCGCCCCCGGCCCGGCCCCACCCCTCCGCCCACCCGGCCCCGCCCCGCCCGGTCCGCCCCTGGCCACGTGTCTAGCGCGGACCAATCATCACCGAGGGTGATAGTCACGTGGCGAGAAGAGCGCGTGAAAGCCGGCGGTAAAAAGCGGGGACACGTGACCTATGTGACTGCGTCCTCCTATCCACTGTTAGCTGGCAGGCCAGGGGGTGCTGCAGCGCCGCCTGCGGTCTGGAGGATCTTCTCCACTTCCCACCCATTGCTATGGATTCTTAAGGATCTTCCAGGTTCTATGTTCCTATGTTCTTTTTTAAAAATATATTTTATTGATTTTTTTCTTTTTTACAGAGAGCAAGAGAGAGGGATAGAGAGTTAGAAACATCGATGAGAGAGAAACATAGATCAGCTGCCTCCTGCACACCCCCATCTGGGGATGTGCCTGCAACCAAGGCACATCCCCTTGTCCGGAATAGAACCTGGGACCTTTCAGTCCACAGGCCAACGCTCTATCCACTGAGGCAAACCAGTTTTGGCAGGTTCTATGTTCTTTTTGTTTTCCACTAAACTTCGTACTTTCTACTTATCATACCTGATGATAATTATTTAATATATTTCTCCTCTACCCCCCACTGAAAGCCTTATTAAGAAACAGGGATCGCCGAAAGGTTTGGCTCAGCGGTAGAGCATTGGTCTGCGGACTGAAAGGTCATGGGTTCGATTCCAGTCAGGGGCATGTACATTGGTTGCGGGCACATCCCTGGTAGGGGGTGTGCAAGAGGCAGCTAGTCGATGTTTCTCTCTCATCGACATTTCTAGCTCTCTATCTCTCTCCCTTTCTCTCTGTGAAAAATCAAAAAAATATATTTAAGAAAGAAAGAAAGAAAGGAAGGAAGGAAGGAAGGAAGGAAGGAAGGAAGGAAGGAAGGAAGGAAGGAAGGAAGGAAGGAAGGAAGGAAGGAAGGAAGGAAGGAAGGAAGGAAGGAAGGAAGGAAGGAAGGAAGGAAGGAAGGAAGGAAGGAAGAAAGAAAGAAAGGAAGGAAGAAAGAAAGAAAGAAACAGGGATCACCCAGCAGGCATGGCTTAGTGGTTGAGTATCTACCTACGAACCAGGAGGTCGGTCACCAGTTGGAATCCCTATCAGGGCACTTGCCCTGGTTGTGGACTTGATTTCCATTGCAGGCATGCAGGAGGCAGCTGATCAATGATTTTCTCTCTCTCTCTCTCCCTCTCCCTTCCTTTCTGAAATCAATAAAGAAATATATTAAAAAGGAAACAGGCATCATTGCCACCAGGAGTACCTAGCACTTATGTATAAAAATTATAGTCATTATGGGACTTACTGGAGGGTAGGAAATTTTCTGAGCTTTGCATATATTAATGAATTTATTATAGCAATGCTTGAGGCAGGCACTATGATCCCTATTTTACACAAGAGGAAACTGAGGACAGAGGGGATATGAACAGCACATTGTCCAAGGTTCTGGGCTGGGGTCCAAATCCAGACACCTTGTTATTAGCATTACGTGTTCAGGCACTGAAAAGGAAGTGTCAGCAGAGGGATCTCACGTGGCCCTAGTAAAATTAGGGTTGGGGATCACAAGAGTTTGATGAAGCTGATGGTGTAGAATAGGATATCTTGCATCTTGAAGCCAGGTTATGTGGTTATGTTGAATAATGGTTGGATATCTATAATAATAAAAGAATAATATGCTAATTAGGCTGAAAGACCTTCCAGACGACCTTGCTACAACAACTGGTGCCAGGCTAGCCAAGGCACATGCGATGTGATTGGTCGGGGGCCCGGCCATCACCCAATGATTGACCCAAAGAGGGAGGCCCAGGCCACCAACTGGTAGGCTGTGGCGGGTGGGCAGGACCTCCCTCTTAGAGGGATGCCTGGGTGCCAGAGGGAAGCTGGTGCCAGCAGCCAAGGGGGAGGAAGGCCTACTCTTGCACGAATTTTGTGCCATTGGCCGTGTGTGTGTGTGTGTGTGTGTGTGTGTGTGTGATATATATATATTTATGTATATATACACACACATAGTCTGGAGTGCAGGAGGCTGGTTCAGTTGTGGAACAGGTAGTTGACATAGAAAAGGCTACTGACAGCACAGGTGTGAATAAAATCACCAACTGGGAAAAGGAAAAGACTGAGAAAAGGATCTGGAGCAGAGCCCTGAGAGTAGAGATGTACCAGCCCAGGAGAAGGGAGAAAGAGCAGGAGCATGTAATATTATGAGAGCCCTGAAAAGGGAATGTTTCAGGGAGCAGCCATGTCACTGCCAATGGGTCCTGCTACATAAGGACAAGGGCCCACTAGTGTTTGCTGCTATGGAGACCACTCGTAACGTTGGTGAGTGTGGGTTCAGAGGAACAGAAGGAGCAGTGGGAGGTGAGGAAATGGAAGCTGCTAGTGAGGCCCAGGTGCTCAGGGGAGGAATCAGTTGCCATTTATTCTCTCCATGCAGCCCACAATCCTGTATGGTATTGGGTAAACAGTCCATGTTCTTAAGGAATTGTGGCTCAATTGGAGAAACAAATCATGGTCTCATGAAGAGAAAAAATATGCAAAGCATTTTTTCTGATTTTCTTTCCATGTAGAGAAACACATATTGTGTGTGATGTGTAGGTGTGTGCATATATATAATACAAATCTCTGGAAGAATGTGCAGGAAACCCAGAGGTTAGCCTGTTTGAGATGGAAAAGGAAACCAGTTTTTTAAGGATCAGAGTTTTACTCCTTATGTATTCAAGAGCTGGTACAGAACAGTGAAATGCATGAATTCTTTTTGACTCATTGGCCCGAGTATTACACTAATTCAGTAGGAGAGGTTAGAGCTAACCAGGAGGGCTCCTGAGACAGGGTAGACAGAATACATGCACTGCTAGTACTTCCTATGTCAGCTTTTCTCTGACCCACTTCATTACAACTGTTAACAAGTGAGAGTGCAGACGTTTGTCTTCTTCAACATTGTACCTTTTAAACTGGATTTTGTTACTAAAAACCAAATAGCTTAGAAATTTTAACACTGAACATTTTAAAACTTGTCAATTTGTATCTTGCGTTCCGACAAGAATTAGTGATAATCAGGGTGTATTATTTCATTGCAATTTTATGTCTGTACTCAATCTAAAACTAATTTCCCAAGAAAAGGTAGTTGAACATTAATAGGTAACATATATATCCATTCATGAAGCCATCACAATCAAGAAAACGTACAGTAATATATCCACTGCCAGGTGTCACTTTGTCAGTCTTCCTCCCGACTCCTTTCTGCACTGGATTAGTTTGCAGTTTCTAACATGTTATCTACATGAAATCATTTAGTGTGTGTGCTCTTTATGTTTGGCTTCTTTTATTTAGGATAATGAACCTGACATTCATTACTGTTGTATCAATAGATCATTTCCTTTTATTGCAAATAAAATCTTAGCATCCTCCTTTTAAAGCTCCTTTGAAGCACATGGTTTGAAAATAATTTACTGAAAAATATCTGAGGAAAATACTGGCTACATGAGTATTACTGTGATCTAACGTAGAAAATTAAATACTAGTTGTAAAGTTAACATCAATGTACACAACTAGACAATCTAATTATTTTGAAAGCTAGTGTACCTATTACTTGAAATGTGAAAGATTACTTTGACATTAAAAGGACTACATTCCAGCCGAAACCAGTTTGGCTCAGTGGATAGAGCATCAGCCTGCGGACTGAAGGGTCCTGGGTTTGATTCCAGTCAAGGCCATGTACCTTGGTTGCAGGCACATCCCCAATCCCCAGTAGGGGATGTGCAAGAGGCAGCTGATGGATGACTCTCTCTCATTGGTGTTTCTAACTCTCTACCCCTCTCCCTTCCTCTCTGTAAAAAACCAATAAAATAAAAAACAAAAAATAAAAAAAGGACCACATTCCAAATTGTTCAGTTTTTTTATTTTTCTGATAATTTACAAAATGTGGCCATTCTGTAACTCAGCCACAGCCTTCACTTCCAGGTGACTTCTTCATTGGGTCTCAGTTCTCTGTGTGGAAAGAAAAAGTATTAAAACTTTTATGACGAATAAAAGGAAAAGTCAGAACAATATAAATTCAGTATTTTATACTCTATTAACCCATTTAATAGATTTTATGCTAATCCAACATATTCTATTCTCTCATGATTTTAAACCTTTACCATCTTTTCAATTATATTTTTCCAGATTAAACTGTAATTTCTTTGTCTTCATATAAAAACTCAATGAGCTTATTTATTGTTTCTAGACCTTTTCCAGCTCATTTTATCTTTCTTGAAATCCTTGCTTGTGAATCTCCTCTGCAGGGACTGTGACTGCTGCTCAGTTCCAGTCCTCTGAGCTTCCTCCTGCCAGCTCACATGCAGGGGCAGACTCCCTACCTCCTTATCTCCAGCTCCCTGCTGCCAGACACAATGGAACCAGGCGGCTACCAGCTGCCATCTGGTCATTCAACCACCAAGTCTAAAGCTCTCAGGCTGTGATGCTGAGAACAGACCACCAAGCCACACAGCACCATTTATTTCTGCTACACCATGACTTAAATAAGATGGTATGTCATAATATATGTGAAAGCTGTATATAAAGTAGGCCTTGGGGGGGCTGGTTTAATTTCAAGCAGTGCTTCCATATTAAAAAGTAGTCTAAATTCCAAAAAAGGGGGATTTTTTAAAAAATCTGAAATAGTCTGATCATAAGCTGAAGACTTGTTTATATTCCAAATATAATCATGCAGTTTTATGCATTCATTAAACAACAAACAAGACTACAAAATATCACTTACATCTAAGTCCTTGGGGTAAACCCTTGTTTATTTTTGTTGTATATGATACTAAGAATACTTCCAAAAGCTGGCTGTTGGTTTAAAAATGCCCAAACTAACCTTTTAAATAACAAACTCTTGTTCCGGAAGGCAGTTAGCTTTTCTTCACTCTTTCTGTCTAGATAACATCCAACGACAAATCCCATAGGGACAAGTATATGTACCCAGTGGTCACGCACAAGCTGAATTAAATTCATCCTGAATGCTAAAAAAAAAATAAAAAAAATAAAAAAATAATAATAAAAATTCAGAAATATAACTGACTTTGAAATATCTTTTAAATTGCATCTGAAACAGGAGATAGTCCTGAATATAGGAAGAGATATTAAAAGCATAAGCCTCTTGACCTGATTGGTTTGGCTCAGTGGATAGACAATAGTGTTGGCCTGTGGACTGAGGAATCCTGGCTTCCGGTTAAGGGCACCTTTCTTGGTTGCAGGCTCCTCCCAGGCCCTGGCCCGGGAAGGGCTCATGCAGGAGGCAACTAATCCTGTGTTTCTCTCACAGAGATGTTTCTCTCTGTCTTTCCCTCTCTCTTCCACATTCTCTAAGAATCAACGGAAAAATATCCTCTGGTGAGAATTAAAAAACAAAAGCATAAGCCTCTTTAAAATTGCTTGGCATCAGAATACAGTATACAACTTAAAACTATTGGCATTCCTCCAACATGGCCAGAAGCTACTTTTGTCTGGCTCTACTCTGAGCAGATGTGATCATACAAGCCCTGAGGTTCTTGCTGAATAAAAGTCTTATGAGAGTCCAGGTAAAGACAGGGACTGATCGATATGAGAATTCTATACATTTAAAACCCAGAGCTGGATTCAACCACCTCAAAGGAAACCTGATTCCATCCCTCAGAAGTAAATGGCTAACCTTAGTCCCAGAGGTATTTCACATTACAAGTGTAAAACCTCCAGTTTCATGGGCTGTGGGAGCAGTAGCACAGACATACTTTTCCTGTGTATTTCATGGCGAGTGGGTGACCAGGGAAGACAATGATTTAAGGACATAAAACTGAGCTAGGGTGATTTCTTGGAAGAATGGACAGGAGTGGGAGCACAGACAGGCTTTCCAGCTCTTGGTCATGGGCCCAAGACAATAAGGGAGAGGGAGGGCCTGGGAAAGGCTCCAATGAGACAAGAATGGGTTTGGATGAAGAGGGACGTGGCATGGGTGCCCATGAAGGCACTGTACATACTGGGGTGGGAAAAAGCAGGTTTACAGTTGTGAATGCGAAACAAAGTTTGTTCCTGCGTTATTTTTTAAATTACTGCATTATTTTCAGTAATACATAGTGAAATATATTGCATTACGAACTGTAAACCTACTTTTGCACACCCTGTATTAGTGTCGTCTTTATATGAAAACTCTTAAGAAAAATTTTGCTCTTACTTCAGAACTGGGAGTAGCATGATATCCCTGGGAAAAACAACAAGAAACAAAACGAGTTGGTTTTTATCTTATGGACTCAAGGAATCATAACAGATCAAGCAGCTTTGCCCACCTCTAGGAAGAGCTGACTTTGCAGTCTCTATGAGGTACTATTCTTAATGCTTTTGTTAATTGCAACTCAATTAATCCTCTCAGTATTAGACAAGTTTTCATTACTAAAGGTCACCAATGCAGTCAACCTATTTTTTTATTATGAGCAAATCCAGGGTTAATGGATTTGTCAAAGGTCACAGATGCAGCAAGTGGCAGAGCTGGGATTAATGGGCAGTCTGCCTCCTCGAACCAAGCTCTTTATTTATGCTTATTGTCTCTTACAGTAAGCACAGAGGTAAATATTTACATAATTCTCCACTTCATCTTATTTTCCCTAGTACATATTTTTTCTTCAACCCAATTTTCCTGCTTAACTTCTAAAAAGAAAACTATCTGGTGTGAATTTTTGCATTCCGAATTCACGTTGGAAAAATAAAGATGGATATATGTTTACACACACACACACACACACACACACACACGCACACACACACTTCTACTTTTTAACTGTTCCCCACAGCATTTCATATGTATTGATCAAAAGTGTCGACTTAGCCAACGGAAAAGAGCGCTGGATGCGTGGGGAAACTGAACTCCTTGGAGTCACCTGTCTGAAGGGCACATGCACCCAAGAAACTAAGCACAAAGTAAACATTACATTTTTGTAAAAAGCGCACACCAGTCTGTGGAACGGTCTGCTCCAGAGGGTTTGAGATTTACGAGAGAGAGGGGAGAGAGAAGAGAGAGAGGAGAGAGTGTCACGGGGAAGCAGAGGCTCCCTCCAGGCTGCAGCCCAGCACGGCGTCCCCGCCGCCTTCCCCTCGGGTCGGCCGGGGTAGGACAGCCTCGGGGGACCCTTCCTAACAGCCCCGAGGGGGCAGGAACGGGCCCAGCCGTGCACCGGAGGACACCCCCACCTCCCTTTCCTCCTTTCGTCTCCTCGGATATGAAACCGGGGGAGGCCAGGCCGCCCCAGCCCCGGGGAGACCCAGACTACAGCCCCCCGCCTCCCCTCCATCGCCCGGGGCTTCCCTAGGGGCGCACCCCGAACCCACCTGCGGCCTCGGTGCCAGCCCGACCCCAAGACCAAGGGCAGATGCACGTCCAACCTCCGGCGCCGGCGGAAGCTGCGGCCTCGGAACACGCCATTCGCAGCGCCGGCTCCAAGGTGGGGGGGCACCGCGATATCATACCTCTTTTTCCTTTCCATAATCAGCTTTTATCCTATTTTTATTAGATCTAACATATTAAAAATTATTTTAAAAGTAAATCTTTTAGGTCTCCGGGGACGAGACGAGGTGTAAGGGCTGTCTCTTTCCTGTATTTCACCCCCATCCACCCCCGGAAGATGGTATCGCCCTGGGTCTCCCCCCGCCTAGGCGGTCCGACTCCAATTCCAAGATGGCGGCCCCCATGACGGAGCTGCCGCCGCCCGGCCGTTAACGGCTGCTGCTGAGCGGGCGCCAGCTTTCCTCGCTCTCGAACCTGGATTCAGCCGGGGGTTGGGGAAGAGCAGTGGACGGCGCTGGGGGGAGGACGGACGAGGCAAGTGCGGGCGGGGAGAGGAGTGAGCCTCTGGATGGGGGAGGGGGGTCCTGGGCTGCGGAGTCTCCTCGCACCCCGCCTCCGCCGGGAGGGGCTCCGGGGTTTCGGATGGATGCGGCGGTCCGGCTGGGTTTTGGCCGTCGTGCTCAGCGAGGGGAAGAGAAAGTGACGTCTCCGGGGGTCTGAAGCTCCCGGGCTTTGGTGGCCGTCCGTTCGAGTCCCTCCTTCGCTCCCCCTCCCTCCCTCTCTGTCTGCTTTCCTGCGCCTCGCAGCTCGCGGTGCTGGAGGAGTTGATCTGACGCCAGCTCTGGCTCCTGAGCCTCCCCTTCAGGGTTTCCCCGTCGTCTCGGGTTGAGAGACCAGGGGGCTACTAAGCACTGGGAATAAAGTAGGCATCCTTTTTGGTTAACATTTGTTCCGACCCTCCGTGGCTCCCGCTCCCCAGCCACCTTCCGTCTGTTTTACAGGCTCCGAAGCAAACAGGAGGTCAGACTAGCCACCCCCCTGGCAAGTCAGCTCCCGCTTTTATTTTATTTTTAATTTACTACCCCCGCTGATCCTGTTAGGAAATCACTGCTCTTCTGGAAATGACCTGGAAGAGACTCCGCATTCAGCTCATGGGCCAACCGGGACCCTTTCCTTTCCCCTTGCATTTTGTAGAATTCCCCTTAGTTGTCATCGATATGCAGGGTCGAGAGAGAGAGACAGACAGACAGACAGACTATGATAGCTAATTGCAAGGAAACACTGTCCAGAAGGCGCTTCTGATATGGTTAGCGTTCATTCCTAGCCTCTGCACATTTATGTTGCTTTGAGTGCTGCGCTTGTTAGTGGCGATACAAAAGTGACCCTTTACCCTTGGTACATTCAGTATCCATTCAACAAGTATTTTTGTTTTTGTTTTTTTGTCCCCAGTTTGTGCTAGGTGAAAATAAAGAACTGCCTGAGGACACCAAAAAAAGCTTTATTAAGGAGTAAATACTTGAGCTGGGTCATGAAGGGTCAAAAGGAATTTACTAGATTCACGAGAAGGTCATTCTTGCATGGAGGTCTGGCATGTAAAGACTTTAGATTTTATTCAATAGTTAGAAGCCCCGGAATGCTTTGCACAAGGAAGGGCCATGAGTATATTTGTTTTTTTTAAAAGATGGTAGCTGTGTATGGAGGATCAACTTGGAACAGGAAAATTAGATGAGAGGAAATTGCAATCATTCAGGTGAGGTAAGGAGTGCCTCAGTTGGGGTAGGAGAGTTAAAGGATGACATTTCTGAAATGTCAAATAGGATTCAACTGATGGCAGCCAATTTGGTGGTAAGAGGGGACTCCAGAGTTTTTAGTCTGGGAGGCTGAGTGTTTGGTGATACCATTCAAATCAAGCCTAAGACATTCACATAACAATAGAGTGGTGCCACCTGCCCTTTAGGGATAGCAGAACATGGTGCTCTGCATTCAGAAGCACTGATTTGTGAGTCTAGACCTGTGCTATGACAGTAACCAGGAGCTCCATCTTGAAATTGTAAGTGGATCAAATCGAGATGTGTTGTAAATATGAAATACACACTGGATTTCAAAGACTTAATACAAAAACAGGTAAACTATTTCAATAATTTAGTAATTATTACATGTTGAAATGTTACATATATTGGATTAAATAAAAGTATATTAAAATTAATTTCAACTGTAAGACTTCAGAGTGGCTGAAGAAACTTGAAACTACATTTGTGGCTTGCATTATAGTTTTGTTGGGCTCACCTGCGGTAGTCTAGACTAATGACTAAGGAATTAGTATGGAAGTGGAATTTGAGCTGGGTCTTGAGATGGTGAGCAGTGATGTCAAGGCAGCTCGCTGGCGCCCTCCATTGCCCGTGAAGGCATTCAGACTTCTGCGTCTTTTTCTTCAAGCAATAGGAAGCCTTCCTAGATTTCTGAGCAGGGGATAATGTGTGCAGGGGTATTTCTGAAGATGAATCTGGCTGGAATGTTTAAGTTGAGATAAGGGCAGAAAGACTGGAGCAAGGAAACAGAAATGCTGTGTTAAGGTACTGACAATAGAAATAGAAAGAATGACGTATGTGCAAGGCATTCTGAGGGAAAACTAAGCAGGAGTTGGTAACAGACTGTTCAGTAAAAAGTAAAAAAAGGAATCAAACATGTAGAGTTATAAGCATTGGTTACTTAGATAATAATTAATGATTTCATGTCTTAGACTTAGGAAAGCTCCAGAGGCCCAGTGCACAAATTCGTGCACAGGTGGGATCCCTAGGCCTGGCCAGAGATCCGGGCTGATCAGCAGGGGGGGGGGGGGGGGGGGGGAAGCGCGAGACTGCAGGAGGTTGGCTATGAGAGCGCACTGACCACCAGGGGGCAGCTTCTGCATTGAGCATGTGCCCTCTGTGGTCAGTGTGCATCATAGTGACTGATCATTTGGCTGACTGGTCTTAACAGGTTGGTTAGGCTTATATATATATTTTTGAGGGCTAAAGAAATTTAGCCTCAAAAAAGAACCCATAAAATTGTAAGGATGAAGTAGCCTGCTAAATACTTCCTTTTTTTATCTCAACTTTCTGTACCTTCTTATCAATCATATGCATCTGCCAATAGCCCTAAAATAGTTACCTGGGTTATGTATTCTTCCTACTTGACGATAGATCTTTAAATGTTTCTCTGTTGCGTATATAACTAGGTCCAAAGTTCCCAAGCCTTTCACTATCTGGCCCTTCTCTATTCAGATGCCAGGCTAGTTTCCTCACTGATAGCCTGTAATTTTTTTGTTTTGTGCCTTTGATCTTGTTATTGTTTTGTATACATTTTTCTCTTTGTCTCTTTCTACCCAGGTCCTACCAATCCTTAATGAATAATTTGAGATTATACCTTAAGATTATACCTTTTTTTTTTTTATGATTTTCAATAACATAAGCTAATGTCAATTTAAAAAATCTTATTTCAGCCCCTAATTATAACCAATTTGGTATATTATTACCTTTGTTTTTTATTATGTCTTTTATTATCTTACCTCTGTGTGTTTTGTGTCAGCTTAAGCTAATTAAATTATGATAGGTTTCTTTTTTAAAAATTTTTTAAATTGATGTTTCAGATACATTGATTGGTTGCCTCCTGTCCCATGTCCCTACTGGGATAGAACCTGCAGCCTTCTGGTGCACTCGACGATGCTCCAACTAATTGAGTCACACCAGCCAGGCGTGATAAATTTCTTTTTTTTAAAAGAGACCATATATCATACTGTTTGTTGTTGCTCACAATGTTTATCGTAGGGCAAGACATAGAAATTAAACATCATAATTAAAACTGAAGTAAGTCATTATGCCACATTCATTTAGTTTTTTATTTCTTTATCTTTTAGATTTGTAAAGAGCTCTTACTTTGAATTCATGGTGTTTCATCGTATATACGACTGAGATATCAGTAAGTAAATGAATGTCTAATAAAGATAGAGCTTTATTATAGTCTTAGAAGTTGTAATAAAAATACTTCTCATGTGGTGAAATCAGGGTCTGTGTGCAAAACATTGTAACATGAACTCATTCAATTCTATCTGTGAGGCACTTTGTGTTTTCACTTCCTGGTGTAAGTAAAGTGGGAGGAAAGGTAGATTTAGATGAAAGGAGTTTCTCTTAGGCTGTTGATAAATTGTAGTGCGTGTGTTACCTGTGCATTGGCTCCAGCTCTGGTGATTATAAATGAGTGATGTCCGCAATGTTCTGCTCAGCTCCTGCAGACTTACACCTATGGCTTCTTCTATGGTCAGTGCATCTCATTTGGTTTTCCTCTTTTCCTGCTGCTTTCTATTTTCCCCAGTCTATTGCCATTTTCAAAGAGCCCTGCCTTCTCATGACTTTTGTCTTTTTTGTTTGGTCTCCAGTGATGTTTCAGCCTTAATTTGTTCTAGAGCCTACTTGTTCAGATGAATCAGTTTTTTCCTATTAGCTTCTTCTCTATTCAACTTTCACATCTATACATAGTAATTGGGAATATGAGGGTATGGATGACCTTAGCCTTGGTCTCAAATAATACACCTTTACTCTTGGTGATTTTTGTTTTTTAATATGTTTTTATTGATTTTAGAGAGGGAGAGAGAGAGAAACATCAATGATGAGAAAGACTCATTGAATGGTTGCTTTCTGCACACCCCACACTGGAGATTAAGCCCACAACCCAGGCATGTACCCTGACCGGGAACCGAATGGTGACCTAGTTCATAGGTCGACACTCAACCACTGAGACATGCCAACTGGGCAAAGCTTATTTATTTATTTATTTATTTAATTTTTAAAAAAGATTTTATTGATTTTTTACAAAGAGGAAGGGAGAGGGATAGAGAGGTAGAAACATCGATGATGTGCCCGCAACCAAGGTACATGCCCTTGACTGGAATTGAACCTGGAACCTTTCAATCCGCAGGCCGATGCTCTGTCCACTGAGCCAAACTGGTTTTGGCTATTTTATTTTTTAATTGATTTTTGTTTTTCAGGGAGAGAGAGAGAGATTAATTTGTTGTTTCACTTATTTATGCATTCATTGGTGGTTTCTTGTATGAGCCCTGACTGGAGCTAAAACTCACAACCTTGGAGTATCTGGAAGATACTCTGACCAGCTGAGCTACCTGGTCAAAGCTAAGGCTAATTTATTTTAAGGAGCTAAAATCTGGAATGTTTCTGTGGAGCTCTGTTTTGCTAGTGAATATTTTTATAACATTTGTTTAATAGTCCACAATTGTAGTTTTAGATCCTAAATCTCAATAGATGTGTTCATGTTATATTTTCTTGAAATATGTATAGTAGATGTCCTAACATAAATTCTACTATTTTTATGTATATATTAATATTTATGTTTTATAGACTGGGTTATGTGGGTGAGGAAAGGTTAATTAACCTGAACCACATAGGAGCAGATTCAAATTTGAGTCTAATTCTCAAGTCCTCTACTTTTAATTAAGTCACACTGGGGAGCCATTGCAATACTCATTGTAAACAATAGTGTGTAAGATGTTTGTGCTTTTAAACTTAGCAGTTATAGAAAGGGGTCTTTAAAATGTTTGCTTTTCATGTTTATGGAATTTCTGCCCACTTAGAAATTATATATAATTTTAATTTGTCTAATGTGTATATTATACGTAATTATATATTTTTTTCCTTTTGAAAGAACCGTTTAGACGGTTGTTATTGGACCAAAAAAAATGACATCTATTATCAAATTAACTACCCTCTCTGGGGTTCAAGAAGAATCTGCTCTTTGTTATCTTCTCCAAGTGGATGAATTTAGATTTTTATTGGATTGTGGCTGGGATGAGCACTTTTCTATGGATATTATCGATTCCCTGAGGAAGTAAGTTACTTTTAATATTTCTAGACTTCTATACATCAACTTTTCTACATTGTAATACTATTTTCATGTTAAATAGTGTTTACTTTTTTGCTCTAATTTAGTTTATAGTAAAGGACTTACTCTTACTTATGCCAAAGAGCCAAGAATGACTACCCTATATAATAAAAGCCTAGTATGCTAAGTATCCGGTCATCTAGTTGAATTTCACGTACTGGGCCTCTAGTTTTCACTTATAAAGTTGAATCGACTAATAGGCTATCTTATTTGGAATTCAGCATACTCTTAAGTTAATTGTTACTTGGTTAATGGATCTCAGTAAAAATTTTGCTCCCAAATTTTAGAAAAGAGTAAGTTTATAAGAATTTGAAGAGAGAAAGAAACCCTCCATGTGAAAGTTCTGCAGTCAGATCTCATAGCTTACTTGATCTTTTGGTGCCATACATTGAGAACTGTTGCTCAGAATAGTTACTGTGAGATACAAAACAATAGTAACCCATTGGAGAAAAACTCAGTAATGTTTGCAGTATTGTACTAATTAGGGAAGGAAAGAAGACTTAAACATTTACAAAACTTAGAAGTTGTAGCAAAACATTTTTTTTCTTTTGTCAATGAGAACCTATGCTTCCTTGATTAAGTAAAGTTTTACTATAATGAATATGCTATCAGTTGCCATGATAAATAGCTGGGCCAAAAATCCATAATAAATATGTGGCTATTTAAGGATTTCCTTTTTTATTTCTGAAATTCTAAGCTGAGTTCTTGAACTTAAATTAATGGTATATAAAGTAGACATTTGAAATCAGTTTACATGTGGTATCTGTTTCTCTTTTCTCTTTTAAATGTATCTGTACCCTATACACTTAGTGTGACTTAGAGCATGATTTTGCTATCTATACAGGACAATGGTGGTCAGAATTAAAATTTGTAGGCATCACACTTTTAGCTCTTTTACTCCAGCATACTCTTCAATTCAGAATACTGCGAGGAATCAGAATTGGTGAATTAGTGTTGAGTGTCCTGTCCTCATCCTTAAAACATGACTAGGGAAATAGTAATTTTGCTGGTGTTCTCCCAGGCACGTTCACCAGATTGATGCGGTGCTGTTGTCTCACCCCGATCCTCTCCACCTCGGAGCCCTCCCGTACGCTGTCGGGAAGTTGGGTCTGAACTGCGCTATCTACACGACCATTCCTGTTTATAAAATGGGACAGATGTTCATGTATGATCTTTACCAGGTAATATAAGCAATTAAAAACATTTTTAACGGTTCTGCAGTGATCATTTTTAACCTTTTATTTGTATTATTCTTTTAGTCTCGACATAATACAGAAGATTTCACTCTATTTACATTAGATGACGTGGATGCAGCCTTTGATAAAATACAGCAGTTGAAATTCTCTCAGATTGTGAATTTGAAAGGTAAAAAATATTTCCATCAATAAAATAATTGGATTAGTAGGATTTAACTTACTGAAAAATGCAAGGGGAATTTGTAGTAAAAGTTGTAGGCACTGTGGTCTGAGGAATACAAAATTAGCATTTTTTAATAAGAACTCTGAACCTCCCCTGAGTCATTTGGACTGGAAAATATTCCAGTGAAATACTAACAAAATGTGAACAACTCTGGCCTTTTTGTTCTTAATCCTCACCCAAGGATTTTTTTTTCCTATTGATTTTTTTTAGAGATAGTAGGAGAGAGGGACGGGGAGAAAGAGAGAGAGAGAAACATCAATGTGGGAGACGCACATCGATTTGTTGCCTACCGTGCGAGCTCCAACTGGGGCAGGGATCAAACCTGCAACCCAGATAAGTGCCATTGACCAGAAATAGAACCTGTGACCCTGTGGTGTGGGGTGGACATTCTAACCACTGAGCAACACTGGCTAGGGCAACAACAAAGGCCTTTTCACCTTTAACTTGAGAAAGACTTATTTAGTGTCTACTGTGTGTAATGCACAGAGGTAACGTAGGCAGATAGATCCTCTGCCTAGGAGCTCACAGTTCGAGGAGAATAAAGCAGCTCAGACAACTGGCTCTATGGACTAAAGGCAATGGAATGTGGCAGCATAAAGGACAAAAATGACTGAATTCTAGAATCAAGCATTAAAAAGTTTATTCTCTCATTAAGTCAGGAAGTTACTTAGTAAGTTTATATTTACTATCTACAGAGATAATTGTATTAAAGATTTTCAGATATGAACCCTGGCATTGCAAAAATGGTGCAACAGAGGATTCTGAAGATTTAGCCAGGAAGTAAAAGTGGTCTCAATAGTTGTGCATGTACTGAATTTTTCTCTAGGATAAATTCTTCAATGCGATTGGAATGGTTAGTTTAGAGGTTAGCAAAAATGTAAATACTTAATAATTGTGTGTACAATATTAGTAATAACATTTATTAGTTCGTACTAAGTAATTTACTAGTAATAGTAACTTTAAGTCCAATCTCTAGCCTTTTGTTCATAAGCACAAATATGTCTGTAAGAATCCTATATAATAAAAGGCTAATACGCAAATAACCAAATGGTGGAATGAACAGTTACTATGCTATGCACTGACCACCAAGGAGCAGACACTCAACACAGGAGCACTCCCGCAGGGGGAGCACCTCTGAGCCAGAAGCCGGGCTCATGGCTGGCAAGCACAGTGGCAGTGGTGGGAGCCTCTCCCGCCTCCATGGCCATGCTAAGGATGTCTGACTGATGGCTTAGTGGGCCTACACTGTCAGTCAGACATCCCCTCAGGGCTCCTGGACTCTGAGAGGGTGCAGGCCTGGCTGAGGGGACCCCCCTTAAGTGCATGAATTTCGTGCACCAGGCCTCTAGTACTTAATAAAGAACAAAGTGGCAAGAGCATTTGCTTCCATGAGGGAATGGAGTAGCCAGGGGACAGGAGAGAGACTTGCATTTCACTGTATGCCTTTTTACTTTTGAATTTTGTATCGTTGTCTGTATTACCTGTTAAAAAATAGCTACAAATAAATAACCTTTCTGTAGGGATATAAGAGAAATCTGAGTGTTGTCATTGTCTCGTTGATCTAGGTAAAGGACATGGCTTGTCTATCACACCTCTGCCGGCTGGTCATATGATCGGTGGGACCATTTGGAAAATAGTCAAAGATGGAGAAGAAGAAATTGTTTATGCAGTTGACTTCAACCACAAGAGGGAGATGTAGGTCTATCAAGAGAAAAGCTAATAGAAATACAACTTGTATTATTTTATACTTTGGAGGGAAAATTAGAAAACAGTTCTTTTTTTTAACTGGAAATCTAAAGCTATTTAAATGCACCAATTAGTGAATATTTTCAAAATTACTTAATTACTTGCATTGTAAGAGAAAACTATGATACTAAGAGATAAAAAATATATTTGAAATTTACATGTTAGTTTCCACTCTATAAAACAGATTTCTCCCTGGAGATGCTGCATAGAAAATAAATTTTTATACATCAAACTACTTTATATGTATTTGACCTGCTATTTAAAGGAAGTTTGTCTTTTTTTTTTTTTTTTTTTTTTGGTAGAGTTAGTAATTACCATCTAATACGTTATATTTAAAGTCAGACATAGCAGTTTAATTTTAAATACTTCATTTTGTATTCATAGCATATTATATCAATTACAAGAGGCCCGATGCACTAAAATTGTGCAAGAGTAGGCCTTCCTTCCCCTGGCTGCCGGCACTCACTTCCCTCTGGCACCCGGGACCTGGGCTGTACTCCGACGGCCTGCTGGCAGGCACCCAGGACCCAGGCTTCCCTTGCAGCCCAGCTTCGTCCCGAAGGTCGCCTGGAAGGACGTCCAGTCTAATTAGCATATTATGCTTTTAATATTATAGATGTCTGAGTGGTGGTACTCTGGAAGACCTTGGTTTTCCTTTTTTTTTTTTAATTATCAGTGAGCATATATGTATACTTTTATAGTTAGAGGAGGAAAAAGGCTTTGTAAAAGATGTAGCTTATTTTCAGGTAAGATAAGCTGTTGTTTATTTGAAATGATATAAAATATTTCTCTTCTTTCAAATATGTTATAGCCACTTAAATGGATGTTCCCTGGAAATGCTAAGCAGACCCTCCCTACTTATCACAGATTCATTTAATGCTACATATGTGCAGCCGAGGAGAAAACAGAGAGATGAGCAACTGCTGAGTATGTATTACATAAGGTCCTTTTTATAAAGAGCCATGGAAGTACTTGGTAGAATGAATTGCTGCTTGTTCTGTTCTGGTTATCACTTTTCTTGTTCTAAGAGATTGTCTAACTAGTTATTTAAAAAAAAAGTATGTGACCATATCAATATTTTATACAAAAAGATGCTTTCATTGGTTTGAATTTAATTTTTGTGGAATTAAATGGCTTCTCCCTGCCATTCAACAAATAGTTAGCTCTCCCTGGCACTCAGTGGTATGTGTCTAGGGAATACCAAAATATAAAGATCTTATATAAATCAATAAGAACACAACGGTACTTCGCTAAAGAATTAAAGATAACTTTATCTCTGTTTTCACTATAAAAACTATGATCTATAAATAAGCCATTACTATGCCAGGTACAAAATAAAATAAAAAAAAATGAGAGAGAATCATTGATCCACTGCCTTCTGCACACCCCTCTACAGGGGATTGAGCCCTCAACCCGGGCATATGCCCTGTCTGGGAATCAAACTATGACCTCCTGGTTCATAGCTCAATGCTCAACCACTGAGCCACACCATCCGGGCTTGGATTCTACTTTTAAACATTTTTGAAACTACTGTCTTTATCTATTTACTTAAAAAGCATATCTCATATACTATGTTACACTAAGAATGTTTTCTTGTTTTTGCTAGCGTTGGTTTTACTAAGTATTTTCATGCAGACTTTATTTTTTTAAATTATTTTATTGATTTTATAGAGAGGAAGGGAGAGAGATAGAGAGCCAGAAACATGGATGAGAGAGAGCCATCGATCAGCTGCCTCCTGCACACCCCCCACTGGGGACACGCCCAAAACCAAGGTACATGCCCTTGACCGGAATCGAACCCGGGACCCTTCAGTCCGCAAGCTGACACTCTATTCACTGAGCCAAACCGATTTTGGCTCAAGCAGACTTTTATCTAGAGCAGGGGAATCTATTGAAATCTATAAAGATGCATTTGTTGGCAGAGAGAATAGGATCTATTTTATTCTACAGGAATACATACACATATATAAAACATGTATGTATTATGTAAAGTCCACATTAAGGCTTGGAAACCAGTGATTTCCAATGTCTCTGTGAAAAAAAATTGAGAGCTAATGGCATTGTTTTTTATTCTTAGAAAGATGTATTCAGAGAATAAAATACATTGTAATAGTCTGAGCAAAATTATTTTATTTTCTATCTGGCCTGGTAATGGCTTATTTATAAGTCATAGTTTTTATAGTAAAAACATGGAGATAAAGTTATCTTTAATTCTGTAGCAAAGTATTGTGTTCTATAGGGACATTACACTCTTGTTTTCTAGCAAATGTCCTGGAGACACTTCGTGGGGATGGCAACGTGCTGATAGCGGTGGACACTGCAGGCAGAGTTCTGGAACTTGCGCAGCTCCTCGACCAGATCTGGCGAACTAAAGATGCAGGCCTGGGTGTCTACTCCCTGGCCCTCCTGAACAACGTCAGCTACAATGTGGTGGAGTTTTCTAAGTCCCAGGTTTGTCTTTACATGATCCTTTGTAATATAGTTTGCTACACAGATTGGGCTTATGGACAACACTGTTCTAATTGCCCTTTAGATTTTAGTTTTCTGTTGAAGGGGATGTGATGATGACAATAATAAAAGCTAAAAATTAACCACTTACTGTGCTTTCTGCTTTACATGTATTATTTCACTTAATTCTTATATACCCTATGAAGTAGGTTCTGTTCCCCCGCAACTCCTTTTTACAGATTGGGCAAGTTGCTTCTCCTCTAGCACTTAGTATGGCAAATGGGGACAGAAATTAAACCAATGTTATAGGCTATGAATGTTAGAATCACTTTTCACTTCCTTTTGAATAAATTCTTGTCCTTGAAATAGCAATCTCTGGGTTAACATACTCATTTAGAACTTATACCCAGCCGTCTCCATAGGCTTAAAGTGATTTATTTATAAGTGAAAACATAAGGCACAGTTGGATTTTTGGGGGTGAACACTATGGTGGTGGGATCTAATGGGGGCAGAAGCAGAAAATAGGCTGCTTGTCAGAAAGGTAAAAATTTAAGCAACCAGTGGGGTGGGGTGGGGATGGGGGCACACTTGAACTAGATCTCGAATTTCCTGACGGTGGTAGAATACATTGAAGTTATAATACAGCGTTTTCTTCTCATTGTCATCTTCCCCTATATTAGGTAGAATGGATGAGTGACAAATTGATGAGATGTTTTGAAGACAAAAGAAATAACCCGTTTCAGTTCCGCCATCTCTCTCTATGCCATGGTCTTTCTGACTTGGCTCGAGTACCCAGTCCTAAAGTGGTACTTGCCAGCCAGCCCGACCTGGAATGTGGATTTTCAAGGGATCTCTTTATTCAGTGGTGTGAGGACCCTAAAAACTCCATCATTCTAACTTACAGAACTACTCCTGGGACTTTAGCACGCTTCTTAATTGATAACCCTGCTGAAAAAGTTACAGAAATAGAGGTAAGTGCTTGCATATGAACTTTATCTTAATACCGTTTTGAATACATTATAAAACTCAAAACTTTTAAGATTTTTATCACAAAAACAGTAGAGAACCTTTAACAGCCCAAATTTCAGAGCTACTTAATTGGAAATACTCATCCTTGAACCCTTCCATGGTACCTTCTGGAACCACTGCAGACGGTCTGAATGTACACTGTGTTCTCACCTCCCCTTTGAAAAGTTGCTCTGCGTCCTTTCCTTAGTTGGAATCCAGCGCTTTCCTAATGATACTTTTTCCTGTAGCCCTCCCAAGTAGATGCTCTTTTTCCTTCTTTCTCCTTCCTTCACTTTCCATATACTTTGGGTGGGGTGGGTGGTGTTGTATGTATTGCAGCTTTGAAGCCATTTCTCTTCCGTTCTGCAGTTCTTATGTCACACTTGACAGTATACTCACCCCTCCTTGTTCCTGACAGTTAATGGTCTCTTGGTCATTCTGTCATTCATCTGTGACATTGGAGCCTGGTGCATGCCTTCCTGTCCACTCGAACTCAGCACTTCATTCTTGATGATGTTAGCATTCTTCTCTTCCCAGGTCCTTGGCTCTCTTGTTTCTTGGTGATCTTTTCCTCCATTCCACCTCCGTATCTTTCCTACCTTCGTGGTGTGTATTCCCATGGTCATGCCCTTAACCTTGTTATGATTGAACAATTTCCATATCTCTGCTACCTCAAGCATCCCGCCCCGGCCTTACCGATGACTGTTTCTGCCATGCCCACAATTCTTTGGTCCCATTGGGACTTTAAGTTCATGAGCCTCACCACTCTTGCTATCCGCCCTCCCTCCAGCTTTGAGTCAGTGGTCCATCGTTATTTTGTGAACAGCTTTAACTCTCTTATCCTACTTCCTGCTATTGTACTCACCTGGCAAAGCCCTGACTGGTTAAACCATTTGCTTAGTGTGTGGCTGTACTGAAGGTCTTAAACTGGCTGCTGTGGGGATAGGTTTTTCTGCACATTCTTGACCTCACATCTCAGAAGGGCACCCAACGCTAGCACTCAGCATTTTGTGGCAGGTTCTTTCTGCACTGTCCCATAAGACAACTTCATTCCTTCTTTCTCCTCAAAACACCTACAGCTCCATCTCAGTCCTTACCCATAGCACGCGATGGCGTGGGAGTTGTTGATTGAGAAGTCGGAGGCAGATAGGAATTTCCTTATCTTCTCACCACTAAGTAGCCTCACCTATTTCTTCATCTGCATTGCTGCTGCCTTATTTCCTGTTACAGGAGCAAGACAGTCAAATGACCATTATATTATATAATCATAATATATCAATTTTCCAAAACTAGTAGCATTAACCTGAAGTTTATAACAATTGATATTGAATGATGGGTTAATGCCTGCCAGTGCTGGGCAGAGTTTTAGAAGACTGCTTTTCATTTTGTCCTCATACAGCCATTTTAAGGGATGTCTAGTTTGTTAAAGCTGAGTAGGAGGAGCATCTTATTAACTCTACTTAAGAAAACAATAGAATAGTAACTAAAATCTGGTTCACATTCACTGTAAATACAGAATTATTGAGGAAGGATTCAAAGCAAGCACACCAATGTAAAATGCTGTCTTTTGGGTTATTTTAATAGCTTAGAAATACAAAGTTTAAAGAGCTCAGAAATATTTGAAACAGTTTCATCAGATATGAAATGCTGTATTAGAAAACATTAATAACTAGAAATTCAATTAAGGCAGATATGCCATTTGAGGAATTCTTAAAAGAATATTAAATGTGGTTTAAGTTTGAAAAAATAGAAAATGACATTCAAAGCTGAAACTTGAAATGTTAGGTTTTTAATTTTTTTCCTAAGTAGTACTTATGTTCAGGATTCATTCCCTCTTACCTCTTTAGGGATATTTTTTGTGTAGTTACCCTTTTCTGTCCATTATCTATTACTTTTTCCTCTACTTGATCACATCCAAAACAATGTTGACTATGTGTTCTCTTTCCCAAACTTCCTTTTCTTTGAACTTTCCTCATCTCAGGGAATAACAGCATTTCCCATGTGTTTACACAAGCCAAAAACCCAGAAATTAAAAAAAAAAAAAAATGCTCATTTAAGTATAATATATATTGAACAGTGTGCATATTGTACGCATACAGTGTGATGAATTTTCACAAATTGGACACACTTGGCTAGTCTGTATCTAGACCAAGAAATAGAATATTCCATTACCTCAGATGCCCCCTTTCTGGTCTTCCCTACCTTTTGGTTCCCAGGCTAAACACCATCCTGACTTGTAATGCACAGATTATTGAAACTTATTTTAACTTCCTTACTTTTAACACCCATAATCAATCTAGTAACAAGTCCTTCCTATTGGCTTGACCTCCAGATATATCCTACAAGTCTCTTGGCTGTTATTTGTTTTTCTTATTTTAGAAATTGCCTATATATTTGCTCTTTTCTGATATGTTGATCATCTTAGGAAAACAGTAGCTTCTGCTAGTCCTATAGTGCTGCAAATATATTTTTCAGTTTCTTTTAACTATGAAATTTAAAGAAAATGATTTTATTTTTTATACTGCCACTACAGGCCAGGTGCATGAATTTGTGCACCAGTGGGGTACCTCAGTCTGGTCTGCGGGATTGTGCCAAAACTGGATCTCTGACATTCCATGAAAGGTCCTGGATTGCGAGAGGGCATAGGCCAGGCTGAGTGACCCCACAGGTGCATGATCAGGGCTGGGGAGAGATGTGGGAGGTTGGCCAGCCTGGGAGGGATCTCAGGAGGGCTCCAGGGCATGTCTGGCCTGTCACGCTCAGTCCCAAAAGCCAAACTCCAGCAGTTGGAGCGTCTGCCCCCTGGTGGTCAGTGTATGACATAGCAACTGGTCGACCAGTTGACTGACTGCCTCCTGGTGGTCAGTGCACATCATAATGAGCGGTTGAGCAGCCTTAGCATATTATTGGCATATTACGCTTTGATTGGTTGAATGGCTGACCAATCGACTGGACATTTAGCACATTGGACTTTTATTATTGATATATAGGATATTTATTCATATTTTCCTTTATGGCTTTTAGGTTTTATATCATGGAGGTCTTGCCTACACTAAATTGTAAAAATACTTAGCTGTATTTTCTTTTTGAAACCAGTTTGATTTAAATTAAGCGCATTCTAAAAATGGGAAAGCTCAATTTTTGTACTAATCTAAATAGGATCTGTAAGGGCCCATAGGGGACACTTGAATAATTTTCAGAGAAAAATTTAGTTTAAAGATGATGTATCAATTTAGAGATGCACTTTATCTCACACCTCACTTACCTTAATCTCCTAATAATGATATTTTCTTTCATCTGTTATCTTTCTTTAGTTGAGGAAACGGGTAAAGCTTGAAGGGAAAGAGCTTGAAGAATACTTGGAGAGAGAGAAGCTAAAGAAAGAAGCTGCTAAAAAACTTGAGCAGTCAAAAGAGTGAGTTATTTCACACTTATAGGTTTATGTATGTAATTTGAGAAAAACATTTCTAAGACAAAAAGTTTAATTGAAAATATTTAACTTTTGTTTTAACCTCATTACTTCCATTACGTCTTTCAAATGGTTCTGAAATCCAAATTCTCTCATTGCTAATGTTAATATGTATTTATTAACTGACAGTTAATGCTATGTTTCACAAAAGATCAACCCAATAATATTGGTGATTATATTACCATCCAGTTAATATTCAGTATCAATAATAATTTTATGAGCATTAATTCAAAATCTTTTGGGGACTCTATGATCTTTATTCTAAAATTCTCCCAGGGCCGACATAGATTCCAGCGATGAAAGTGATGTTGAGGAAGACATTGACCAGCCTACGGCTCATAAAACTAAGCACGACCTGATGATGAAAGGTGAAGGCAGTCGGAAAGGAAGTTTCTTCAAGCAGGCTAAAAAGTCTTATCCCATGTTTCCTGCCCCAGAAGAAAGAATTAAATGGGATGAATATGGAGAAATTATCAAGTATGTGAGCAAAACAGCTTTTCTTTCTTACAGATTAGAGGGATCAAGTATGTTATTGGAGTCCACTGAGTTTGTTCTTTCTGGTCTTTGTGTACCTTGTTGCTTTCTGAGAACTTCAGCTTGAAAAATGTAGACTTACAGTGCGAAATGTAAAAGTAGCAAGGTGGAGAAACATCTAGAGAATTGAAATTAAAGGAGAGCTGGTAGTTTTTTTGTTTTGTTTTTTTATACTCAGGTATCATTTTATTTTTTAAATTTATTTTTATTGCTTTCAGAGAGGAAGGGAAGGGAGAGAGAATTAGAAACATCAATGATCAGAGAGAATCATTGATCAACTGCCCCCTGCACGCCCCCTACTTGGGATCGAGCCCACAACCCGGGCATGTGCCCTTGACTGGAATTGAGCCCGGGACCCTTCAGTCCTTAGGCTGATGCTGTATCTGAGCCAAACCTGCTAGGGCGGAGAGCTGATAGTTTTATTACTTTGGATGAAGACTTCTATTTCCCACTTAAAAAGAGAGATAAAGAACATGCATTGGGAAGAGACTTAGGATAGGAAGAACTTTTGATGGGTGGGATTATGTTAAATTTGGGTTATGTCTCAGAAAAACTTACTAGAAAAACATGCGATAGCATGAGCAGAACCATGGAAAATCTATAAAATCTATACCCACAATTAGAAAAAGAACTGAAATCACATGTTCTAATCTCAAATCTGAAAACACTATGCTGTATAAAGATCCCTTAGGATGCCTGTTGCTTTCAGGTAAGTGTCAGTGCCTCAGCACTGCACAATGTCTTTCACGGTCTAGGTTCTCCCTCCTGTTCTGTGATGTTTCTACAATACATCCTTCTGCTATGTCTGTGTTCTCCAGCCTTCTCAGATTCCTTCTCGGTTTTTTCATGTTACCCCTTCGCACGTGTTTCTTCTGCTTTTTTCCACCTTCCCATCCCAGGTGTCTGGCCCCACAAACTATTGGATACTTTCCCCGATTCTTCTTTGTACCTCAACACAGTTCCTCTCTTGTTATTCTCTTTGTACTTTCATAATACTGTCTTGAGCCTATTGTGGACTTAGGTTTTAAACTCACTCTTGGGTCTAATTAGGAAAATTCCACTGTCTACTTGGACGTCTAAAATAGTAGAGAAGAAAAATAATTAAACAGCATTGGTGAGTTTGCTTACCATCCCACTTAATTAATGGCCAATCTGTTTAGCATATGGATGGTGCTTTTTAGCTTCAATTCTTTGTCTGAAAAATTGGAGAAGAGTTAAGGTTTTTGTTTTTAGGCACTTAGCATACAGTCTGACTCATAGTAAATGCACTTCTGGTGGATGACAATGGGCGACTGGGCTTCTGGGGAAAGAAGCTGCAGCAGTTTAGGTGCTGGGTACAGGGTGGGATTCCAACAGTTACAGTAGTTAGAGAAAACAGTTTTAAAAGTTTGGTTTTTAATTTTAACATTCAACTCTCTGATCCTGGAGGTAAAAATGGGAAGATAGATGTATAAACAGTTGGTTGAAATAAAGACAACGGCTTTTGAGGGAGCTGATGATTTTGTATTCCAGTCTTCTTGTTAATGTGCAAATGGAGAGTTACCTGCTTTCTTTGAGCAGGGTGGGAGGACTGGGGGTCTTAAAGAAATCAAAGGATATGAGGTTTATGGGAATTGGGAGGTGGCCAGGGAAACCACAGAAACTGGAAACAAATGCAGAGTCAGACTGTAATAGTACTTACACTAACCACTAAGATCTTCTGATGACCTGTCTGGGGCTCTCGCTGGCTCACAGGGTGTGTTTTAAAGAGTACTCCTTAATGGCCATGAAGAACATAATATATGCAGTCATCTGATAATTGATATTATGAAGTTGCATTGGCTTTGGATCAACTGTATATTTAAATCTTGAGATATGTGAGGAGTCTAAAAATTATGCCATCTACTCGTCAGTTATAGTAACATAATATTAATTTGTTAGTTACCACTTCTAATTAGAGACTTCTTATTTAGACCAGAGGATTTCTTGGTGCCAGAACTTCAAGCCACTGAAGAAGAAAAAAGCAAATTAGAATCTGGCTTGACAAATGGAGATGAACCCATGGATCAGGATTTATCTGATGTTCCTACCAAGTGTATTTCTATGACAGAATCTATTGAAATAAAGTAAGTGCTTTCATTGCATTTTGTAAATAAAAATTTCAAACACTTGAATTACATAATTCACATTGTTCCCAAAGTGAAACTTCTGAATATCCTCTATGAGGTTAGACTTTCAAAATTTAATTTATTTTTTCATGGAAAGACTTGCGAAGTATGGAGGTATTTTCTCTTCATTAATTATATCTGAATGTCAGCGTAATTGAATTGGTGGAGAGGAGGGGTTAAACATTAAATTGTACATTTATATAAAGAAACATTCTTTTTGGCATTTTTAGTATGTCCAGTAGCAGGTGAAGGCATACAATTCATAGGTTTAATTTTCCCAAGTGCTTGTTTAATATACTTCTTGACTTAGATATTCCTAGTGTCCTGATATCTTAAAACTGCTATTGTGACCTGAAGTAGTTCAGAAAGCTTTATTTCCTTCTCTGCTTGGTACGATTAACATCAGTAAATCATCATTTTTGAATTTTAAAAAACTCATTAGAGAGAAAATTGGTTTATATCTGTCCAGTGATATCATTTAGTATTATTCTTGGGTAAAACTAGTTCTCAATGATGCATATCAACAGTTTTGCGAGGTCTCTCCAGAATGGCTGACCCCACTTATGTTTTCACTAGCAGAGCAGGAGCTTCCTCTGCCCTGTCTCTCCAGCACACTCTGCTTATCCAACTCTTTAATGCTTTCCCGTCTCATAGCATAAAGTAATATGTCAGTGCTGTTTAAATTTCTCTTATTGTGATGATTATTGAGTTTGATTATCTCTTCAGATGCTTGTTACGGTTTTTGTTTTCTCTTCGGTAAAGTCCATTTTTATCTTTTATGCATTTTTCTCTAGAAGTTGCTGCCTTTTTGTTAATTAATTTGCAGAAGTTCAGTGTATATTCTGGATATTATTGCTGGCTGGTCTTAGACAATGCCAATAAGTACCACCACCCATTCTAGTATCCTATATAATAAAGAGGTAATATGCAAATTGACCATCACACCCTAACAAGATGGCTGCCTATGACCAGGCCAGCAGGGGTGTTAGTGAGGGACAACCAAACGACTGAACAAGCAGGCTGCCTGTGAGGTGACCGGGCCGGCTGGGGAGTTGGTGAAGAACGACCAGACAACTGAACAGCAGTCTGTGTGGGGCAACCAGGCTGGCTGGCGGGGGGGTGCAGTTGGGGGTGACCAGGCTGGCGGGGGGGGGGTGCAGTTGGGGACAATTAGGCTGGTGGGGGGCAGTGAGGGGCAACTAGGCCAGCAGAGGGGGAAGGCAGTTGAAGGCAACCAGGCTGGCAGGGAGGCATTTGGGGGTGACCAGGCAGGCAATTAGGAGCCAGTGGTCCAGGATTGTGAGAGGGATGTCCAATTGCTGATTTAGGCCCAATCCCTGGGGCCTAAACTGGCACTCAGACATCCCCCTAGGGGTCCTGGATTGGAGAGGGTGAGTGCTGGGCTGAGGGCATCCTCCCCCCTCTCCCCCTCGCCTCCGTGCATGAATTTTGTGCACCGGGCCTCTAGTTTGTTTATAAGAGTTGCCCATGGTCTACTTTGTTTAAAAAAACTTCTTTAATTTTGATGTAAGGAAATAATAGAATATTTCTCATTAGGCATTTGGGGTTTCATATTTTAAAAAGTCCTTCCCTGTCCTTGGTCACAAAAATAATTCTTATATTTTATTCCTTAATCTAAAGCTTCACTTTTTTTTTTTTTTTTTTTTTTTTTTTATGGCTTCAACTCACCTGCTGTTTTATGAGGTATTAGGTGAAGACCCAGTTTTATTTTTCTTTGTATAGTGAGCCATTTTTTTTCTAATAACACCTATTAAAGAATCCATAATATCTCTCTCAAATACACATTAATAATAAAACACACGTGTGTTCTTTAAAGCCTCATTTTATATACTATATATGTTTCTTTCTGGATAATAAAAGTCATTAAATCCTAGATTTTGAGTTATCAGAAAAGTAAGATTGAATAATTATGTCTAATTACAGAGCCAGGGTTACTTACATAGACTATGAAGGACGCTCCGATGGGGATTCCATTAAAAAGATCATCAATCAGATGAAACCCCGACAGTTGATCATTGTCCATGGGCCGCCAGAGGCCAGTCAGGATCTTGCAGAGTGCTGCCGTGCGTTCGGTGGGAAAGATATTAAAGTGTACATGCCGAAGCTGCACGAGACTGTGGACGCCACCAGTGAGACCCACATCTACCAGGTAAGCGTGCCGGCACTAGAGCCACCCACAAGGGAGTGCTTCCTGTTGCAGATTAGGGAGGACAGCTGCATTAGGAATACAGCTGTGAGTAATACAGCCGTGGTCCCCTGCCCTAGCAGATCTCAGTCTATGGGGCTTATAGTAAGGAAATAGTATTAATCACACGGTTATACTTTTCATAGAAAAAGTAGAGGTTGTTACGAGAGTCTAAAGAGGGAGACCAACCCATATTTAGAGGTTACGAAAGATTTCCCAGAGGTTTGGTTTAGTGAATAGTGTCAGCCTGCAAACTGAAAGGTCCCAGGTTCGATTCCAGTCAAGGGCACATGCCCAGGTTGTGGACTCGATCCCCAGTGGGGGACTTGCAGGAGGCAGCCGATCCATGATTCTCATCATGGATGTTTCTATCTCCCTCTCCCTTTCTCTCTGAAATCAATAAAGAAAATATTAAAGAAAAAAAAATGATTTCCAGAGGAAGTGATTATTATTTCAAATGGATGGATTCTCAGGGATGTATATAGACTAGGAAAGAGAAGGAATTACATTTGCAAAAATACACAGCTGAGAGAAATGGTGAGTGTTCAACAATTCAAAAATTGTATAAAAATTCACAGATTTCAGGGTCTTACTAATAGAAGAAAACAAGGAGACAGGCACAGAAAATAGGAATAGGGGAGAAATTGATTAACTCTTATTTGTTACTGGGAGATGATATTGGTGAAGGAAGAAGTGATGTCTATGTTTGTTTGGAAAAAATGGATTAGAATTTACCAGGCCAAACAGCCATTCTGGGCAAAGCAGGAGGAAGCAACATTCTAAGAATATGGAGGTGTGAAACCTCATGGCTTATTTAGAAAGCTCTAGACAACTCAGTATTGCTCTAGTACCATCAGGTATTAGTGAATGACACTTATCAGTGGTTTTCAACCTTACCTGTACATTGGAATCTTTGGGGAAATTTTGGGTCTCAATGCCCGGTCTTATTTTCACTAGTTATATTCGAATCGTTGCAAGTGGCACTGATAAGTGAAAAAAAATAATTGCTATGTGACCCCAGTCTGCAGTCTGCATTATTAAGCTTTGTTTTGGAAAGTAGACAGGGGCCAAGTGATCTTACAGGTCATTAGAGCATCACTAATCATGATAAAGATCAGATGAGTGAAAGATTTTGAATTTTTAATGCACATTACCAGACTTAGAAAACGACAGTAATAGGTTAACTTATTCCTCGTTTTATTTCTCTTCTTCCCCTTTGCATGTGTAGGTGAGATTAAAAGACTCACTGGTGAGCTCCCTTCAGTTTTGTAAGGCCAAAGACGCAGAACTGGCTTGGATAGATGGTGTCTTAGACATGAGAGTTTCCAAAGTGGACACAGGAGTCATTTTAGAAGAAGGAGAACTGAAGGATGATGGAGAGGACTCAGAAATGCAAGTGGAGGCACCTTCCGATGCTAGTGTCATTGCCCAACAAAAAGCCATGAAGAGTCTGTTTGGAGATGATGAGAAAGAAACAGGTGAAGAAAGTGAGGTCATCCCTACTTTGGAACCCTTGCCACCTAATGAGGTAGGAAAGCATGTGCTGCTTCTGTCTTTTCCTTCATTTGTCATCCTTGAGTTTTCCATTTACAATATATGTCATATGTTCTTAAAAGATACATAATTGTTTCATGATTTTTTATTTTTTTTTACTATGGACTTTTAAGTTTGATGATTGTGAGAATCATCTACCTGCCTCTAATTGGGAGATTTATAGTTTTCTAGAATATCATACTCCTGCACTCCAGTTTTGTCTGTTGTCAATACAATTCAAACCACTCGGTTTCGATATAGTTAGAAATCTTTATTTAGTATAAATATAATTCTAGTCTAGTGTTGACATGTTCTCAAGAGATATCTACTTAGCAAGGGTTGGGGAATTAACTTACAGCATTAAGACTGTATTATAAGAGTCTTACATGCATGTCAAGTGCTGGCTTAGCCCTTCTCAGCAATAAAGAATAGAGACAGCCTCCATCCCTGCCAGCACTGCTCCTGAGATGGGGAGGAGTTAGAATTTTTTCTCTGTGCTGAAGCTAGCACTCGTCAAAGCAATTTCAAAGGAGCAGCATTAGGTTGTACCACTTGTCTTTGCGATTCTGAAGCCTGCAGCATCCCTGCATTCGCTCTGAGGGAGGAGGCACTGGGATCGGAGAAAATCTCCTCTGAATTAAGCAAAGGGGTTTTGGTTCAGCTCTGCCTGCTGGCACTCTACTTGACCCCCTTAGGCAAGTGGGTGAGTGCAGAGCACAACATTCCCAAATGCCTCTGTTATTATGAGGCATGACTAATAAAATTGATGGTGAAGCATTCAGAACATGTGAAGGCCTTTGTAATGTCAAATAATGAGGTGAGATTCAGAGTAACAACTTGGAATGTGATTTACAGTCTTGAGATGATCTGTCAAAAGACTTCAGGGAATAATAGAAAATGTCTTCAAGATCATGGGCTGTTTTACTTTCATCAGTACAGCTATGTGTCTGGTCCTCTGTCTGAAGTTCTTCCCCTTTCCCCTTACCCAAGGTTCCTGGACACCAGTCAGTCTTCATGAACGAACCCAGACTGTCCGACTTCAAGCAAGTTCTCTTACGGGAAGGGATCCAAGCTGAATTTGTAGGAGGTGTCCTTGTTTGCAACAATCAAGTGGCAGTTCGTAGAGTAAGCGTGTTTATTAATTAATAAGGGTTGAATTGAACAGCTGCTTCTGATGTTTTGACTTCTATAATTCTTGATTGGCAATTTCACAAAACTGAAAATCAGTAATTTATATTCATAATGATGACCTTGAAGGCTTTAAAAAGTGACTCTCAAAGACTTGATAATTTTATTGTAAATTTTTATTTGAGTTCTCTGACATTTATATGTATGTAAAATTCATGACTTGAATAATATATCCATATTCCGTGAATCAGCAATCCATTTCCTGACCAATCCTAAAGTAATCTAGTTAACATATTTTGATTATTATGTCTGCATATTAATGGTAGAAAATGTACTAAAGAACTTTTTTCCCCCACTTGGTTTCTAGACGGAAACTGGACGCATCGGATTAGAAGGCTGCCTTTGTCAAGATTTTTATAGGATAAGAGACCTTTTATATGAACAGTATGCCATTGTGTAAAGGACAGCATGTCAAGAAGTATCTGTTTGACCTTTATAAGAAAAAAAAAAGGATTCTTATTCTAAGCTTTTGCGCTTTTTTTTTGTAATATACAAAAAGAATCTACCAGAAAAACTAAACATGCATTAGATTTTTTACAATGTAAATATTTGGCAATGCTCTAATAAGCATTCTACCTTTTGACTTTGAATGGGAGAAACCTAATATGTGTGCAGGCCTGAGAGGTGAAGAAGGTACTTAGTTTCCTTTATAGAATCTAACTGGAAGGGCTCTTTACTTGAATAAAACAATGCAACTTAGCAAACCAGTTCATGGCCTTAGAGAAACATATTTGCATGCATTCTTGCAAACTGTTTCTTACATTTTCTGGAATGCAAACTGAGAATTATTTAGAAAAGATGTGCTACTAGAAAAAAAAAACCTGATAAAAGTTCTTTGAGGCTCCCTAGTGAAAGAAAAGGTAGCCTGGGCTGTGACTCTTCTCTTGAATTTCAGTATGTGGTTGTCTTCACATGCAGCTATCTGCTCCATGCCATATTTCCCAGATTCAGTAGCGTGAGGTTGGACACATGTGGTTCAGAAATCAGTTTTTATTTCTTCCAGTGCTTGTTTATCAAGATTTTGTTGTTGTTCAGTTTGAATTAGAGCACCATCATCTGAATACACATAATTCAAAAGAATTCCTCGATGTGTTAGTCTTAAGGGTTCTGTGCACGCATTAGACACAGCTTAACTACCAGCTAGATGACTGTGTTAGAAACTGTTTAGTGCTCTGTTTTCAAGGAAATAAATTTGAGCCTCACATTTTGATAAGATAATAGTATATTGATTTGCAAGTTGTAAACGTTTTCATCTTTTAGGCTTGCTTTCTCCCAAGTTTGCCTAAGCAGTGGTTAGAGTTTATATACGTTACTACAAAAATAATGTTGAAACTGGAGAAGGTCATCCTTTCTGTTCTTATATCTTGCCAGCCCCGATAATAGTACATACCACCTGTGTTTAAGAATAAAAACGGAATATATGCAATTTTCATTGAACTTAAAAATGAAAATCATGTTGCCCTATTGATACCTTTTTAGCGTGTAGCTTGATCATGGCAGGTCTTTATGCTTATTTTGTAAGTATTTAAGCCCTCCTCTTTATATTCAGCATTTTTAGAAGGATCGGTCTTAATTAACTATGTATAGTTCCATGTAAGTGCTATCAGTCTAGAATTCATTTCATTTCATTCCATTGCAAATGCGTACAGAGCTTTTCTTGTGGATTATATTTTTACTGCCTTCTGATATTGAAAATCAGATACACACAATAATGTGACAGAAGATGGAGAGTATGTTTTCCTTCCAGAGCTTTGAAAAAAATTCACTTAAAGTCTTATTCCTGCATAGAATAAGACTAAAATTCTATTTATTTTCCGAGGGGGTGGGGGAGAATCTGCATTTGTTTCATGGCCTATTAATTGGGTTATACATATTACATTGTATTACTGATATTGAAAATTTGTTGTTTTTTTGCCTAATCTTTAAAAAATGTTTTTTTAATTGATTTTAGAGAGAGGCAGGGAGAGGGAGAAAGAGGTAGGGAAACATCAATGTGAGAGAGAAACATTGATCCGTTGCCTCCCGTTTGCACTCTGACTGGGGATCAAACCTGAAACCTGGATACGTGCCCTGACCAGGAATTGAACTGGCGACCTCTCGGTGCACAGGAAGCTCAACCAACCAACTGAGCCACACCAGCGGGGCTTGCCTAACCTTTTTATTGTCCCATGAACAGGAACGAAATTTTAAAGTACTGCTTGAAGATAAACTGATGTCATTGCAGGAGCAGTATTTTTTGCCCGTTTCTAGATGACAATATTACTAAAATTTCTAAAATAAAGGTACTTGTTTACTTCATTTACTTAAGAAAAACACAAATTTTAAAAAGGACTATGACATAAATCATGAACTCAGAGGAATTTTTAGATCTTTATTGTTTAGAAGCAAAATAAATACAAGTAGACATTCAGATGAGATCTATACATAATTAGGCTAAAAATAAATTTTGTAGTATTTTGTTACAGTGGTATTATAAATGTCAAATATCATTGCAAACTATTAAATATTCTTATGAACCAGTAGGTGGTCTCAAATAGAAGCGAGGAAATCAATTTTCTAAGGGCCATTTGCCTTTTATTAAAAATTTGAGATATGATATGCACATACCATAAAGTTCACTCCTCTGAAGGGCACATTTCATTGGTTTTTTAGTATGTTTACAGCATTGTTCAGTCATTACCACTATCTAATTCCAGAATATTTTCATCACCCCCCAAAAAAATCTTCATACCCATGAAGTTCCCATTCTCCCTTTTCTCCAGTCCCCGGCAACCATTAACTTATTTTGTCTCTATGAATGTGCCTGTTCTGGATGTTTAAAAAAAAAAAAAATTGAATCACAAAATATGTGGTTTTTGGTGTCTGACTTCTTTCACTTAGCATAATATTTTCAAGATGCATTGATGTGGTCGTATGCATCAGTATCCTTTTTATGGCTCAATAATCTGTTGTGTGGACATGCCACATTTTGTTTATTCATCAATTGATGGACATTTTGGTGGTTTTTTGCTATTATGAATGATGCTGTGAACAGTTGAGTGCAAGTTTTTTGCATAAACATGTTTTAAGTTTTCTTGGGTATATACAAGATGGGGCAAAAGGCTTACATATGGAAAATAATACAATAATTAATAAATAGTAATACAAGAATGAACTCTGTTTCATGTACTCACAACTGTAAACCTATTGCCCAACCCTGTATCTGAGAATAGGAATGCTGGATCATATGGTAACTATATTTAGCCTTTTGAGAAACTGCCAGACTGTTTTTACATTTTACATTCCCATCAGCAGTGTCTGAGAATTCCGTTTTCCCCATGTGTGCAGTAACACTTGTCATTCACCATCTTTTTTATTTTAGCAATCTTCATGTGTGTGAATAGGTATCTCATTATGCTTTTGATTTGCATTTCCCTGATGCCTAAGGATGTTGAGCATCTATCCTGTACTCATTGGCCATTTGTGTATCTTTTTTGGAGAAATGTCTATTCAGGACCTTTGCCTATTTTTTAATTGGGTTTTTATCTTTGTGTTCTTGAATTATGAGTTTTTTATACAATCTGGATACTAACTCTTTATTAGATACATGATTTGCAAATATCTTTTCCCCATTCTATGTGTTTATTTTCTTGATTGTGTCATTTGAAGCATAAAAGCTTTGGATTTTGATTACTGTATTTTTCGGACCATAAGACGCACTTTTTTCCCCCCAGAAGTGGGGGGGAAAAGTCCCTGCGTCTTATGGTCCAAATATAGCCTACACATATACTTTAAAAAAAAAGTTTTTTTACTTGCCCGGCTCTGTGTGGTCTCTGTGTGCTTGCCCGGCTCTAAAATGGTTCTAAATGCTGCTGTTTACTTTACAGGATTGATTACATGTGTTTATGACTGTGATGTTGGGTTTTAATGCACATAAAATATTTTAGGACACTATTTGTTTCAGAATCTTTTTTTCTTCATTTCCCTTCTCTAAAAACTGGTGCGTCTTATGGTCCGGAGCGTCTTATGGTCCGAAAAATACGGTAAGTCTCATTTGTCTTTCCCCCCACTTTGGTTCCATATGTTATTGGTATCATATCTTAGAAATCATTGCTTCATCCAAGGTCACAAAGATTTATGACTGTTTTTCTCTTCTAACATAGTTTTAGCTCTTATATTTAAATCTTTGATCCATCTCAAGTTTATTTTTATATAGGCGTGAAATAGGGGTCCAATTTTATTCTTTTGCATGTGGATATCCAGTTGTCCCATGATCATTTGTTGAAAAAACTATTCCTTCATCAAATTTTCTTGCCACCTTTGCTGGAAAGCAGTTGTCCATAAATACATGTGTGTGTTCTCAGACTCTAAATTCTATTTTGTATCTATCTATATACCACTACCACATTATCTTGATTACTGTAGTTTTGTAGTCTTGATTCTTAAGTTTTAAAATCAACAAGTGTGCCGAAACCGGTTTGGCTCAATGGATAGAGCGTCGGCTTGGGGACTGAAGGGTCCCGGGTTTGATTCCGGTCAAGGGCATGTACCTTGGTTGCGGGCATATCGCCAGTAGAGGGTGTGCAAGAGGCAGCTGATCGATGACTCTGATCGATGACTCTCTCTCATCGATGTTTCTAACTCTCTATCTCTCTCCCTTCCTCTCTGTAAAAAATCAATAAAATACATTTAAAAATAAAATAAAATCGACAAGTGTGAGTCCTCCAACGTTGTTGTCTTTCAAGATTGTTTTGGCTATTCTGGTTGCCTTGCATTTCCATATGAACTTTAGCTTATAAATTTCTGCAAAAAGAGCCATGGGGGGAGAGGGAAGGGATTGAAATTTACAGCTTGAAATCTTAGAATGTTATGGCTACGTAAGAAGGACTGTGGAATTCATGTATTTCAACGTACTTATTTTGGTAATAAATGACGGGGCCAATGGAAGAGAAGGGATTCGCTTGAGAGCCAATAGCCAGTTAGAGACAGAGTTGGAATTGGAACCCAGCCTTTCATAGTCCATTTATTCAATACTAAATGAATAAATCTAGGATCCTTACAGAATCCAGTCATTCAATACTAATATGCGTTGAACTAAATGATTTCTACAGTCCCTCTCAGTCATAACATTCTGAGATCTTAAGCTATAAATTTCAGCTTTTTTTCCCCCCTACACTGCTTTTTTTTTTTCAATTGCTTAGTTTATGTTCACTTTGCTTAAAATAATATGTTCTATTATCCTGTTTAAAAATGGCACCTGGCAAACCATTACTTAGGACGATAGCATGCTGAAAGATTGGTATCCATTCTATATGGTGGGGGAGAAAAGGTAAAAGTCACCCTCTACATTGTGTTGTGTGTGTGTATGTGTGTGTGTGTGTGTGTGTGTGTGTGTGTTTTCTTTGGTTGTAAAGTTCTAGGGTTTTATCACAAGGTTCTTGGCTTTAAATATTGATGAATTGCCCTTGCTGGTTTTGCTCAGTGGTTAGAGCATGGCCTACAGAATAAAGGGTCCCAGGTTCGACTCCAGTCAAGGGCATGTACTCCTTTGCAGGCTCGAATCCCAGTCTGGGCAAGTGTGGGAGGCAACCAATCGATGTGTCTCTCTCACATTGATGTAGCTCTCTTTCTGTCTCTCCCTCTCCCACTCTCTCTAAAATGTAAAATTCAATGACAAAAATATCCTTGGGTAAAGATTAACAAAAATTAGTTGCAGTGTGGAATCTAAAAAAAATAAACTTTGATGAGTTGATTACCACTTAAGTCAAAGGATGTACATGGTGGTCAATAACTCAATGACTGAGGGGTTGGTTTTTTGTTGGTTTGTTTGGGTGGTGGTGGTCCCCCTGTTTTGTTCAATCGTTCAGTAGC